GGACAACACTACTACGAATGCAGCGAAGACCTCAATCTTGACTTTTTTGAATTATTAATTTGTTCTCATCACCGAAACCAGGCACATTTCAAGTTGCCAGTCTGATTCTACTTGGTAGAACCTTGACCCGACCCTCTGCCGCGGGGTTTTTGGATACAGCTGTTCTCTGTTTTCTTAGTTGGTGCTCCCCTTCCTCTCTGACAAGGGAGTGTATCATCCTGCAAGGTTGTTACTGCATTTTCTGTCGTATTTAGTTTGACAGTGAATTGCTTTGAATCCTTTGATGAAAAGCCATCCACCGCGTTAGTGAAATGCAACCAATGTGCCACCTCTTGGGCTGAGCAGTCTTTTACAGAATGTGCATTTGCATCGAAAAACCGAGATAGAGGTAGCTAATAGATATTTTGAGCATGCATTTTCTCCATATCCGCTGGACCAACGCTCAGAACCAGGCATGCTATATGAAAGAGCATGTGGCAATGTGTCCGCCCAGTTTGGGGATAGGCAGAAGAGCATGTGCCATTATCGTGAAGGACCTATTTTGCTGTGGCAGAGATCCATAGTGAGTCTGGGGGGGGGTAGGGATCCCCGACAACAACAAAGCCTCTTTCTTGTCGACGTTGTTGAGGATCATCAGACCATAGGGGGAGGAGGTAACTACCAAAGGAATTAAAAATTTCTTTTGGGTTGACTTTCTCTTTATCTTTTCTCTTTAGTGTTGGCATGGGTCGGGGAAGGTCTCGAGATTGCTTATTTTTACGACCTTGTGACAAACTACTTTCTGCAACTGCGCGATCTTCTGCACGAGGCTACGTCGGGGGTTGAAACGGTTTAAGTCGGGATGGACTGGTGAATTGCGTGGGTGCCCTTGCCTTACGCGTCCTTATGATTTCGCGTCCTTTGGGAAGAGGGGGGGGGCTGGCCTGGTCCCGTGACGGTTGGTAGTTGATCGCGCCTTAGCGAGCGTGACGAATAACTGTTGCCATAACTTCTTTCTTGTTCTACTGTGGGAATGGGGAGTTTTCAACGCGATTGTCGTGACGGGAAATCTTTTTTGAATTTTCAACTAATGTCGAGCACCCGGGGGCTCTCGGAAATTGCTTCGTTCGAAATTTCTTTTTGCAACTAGGAATTAGAATTAGGAATTTAGGCGGGTCCTAATTTCTGCTGCGCAGCACTCCTTGCTTGCGCACGCCATGCCGCGTCAAGATCCGTGCTTTGATTTCTCCGTGCCTTAATCCTGAGTATAACTTGTTTTGGCGGGCATAATTGCAACTGTAATTCCCTCACTCTTGGTATTTTTTGTGGAGCCTCTGTGTGCACGTACTTCTTTCCTATTGGCCTCAACACATGCATGGCCGTATCGATGTGTGGAGTGAGGCTACGTCCCCCACGCCGCGGCCTGGCCATGCAGTCGTAGGCACTCCCTTCCCCCTTCTTCCCCATACTTAGACACAATCCCGGGTATCACGCGCACACGCATGCATGCTATAAATTTCGTAAGCGCGATTAATTCGCTCTCTAAGAATTTTGGAAGTTAGCGAGGTCGAGGGGATCGGCTAACGAGCGAAAGTTGGCAGGTGAGTTGAGAGTTGGGCGATCCGACGAGCTGATGCTGAGCGTGCGAGGTTGACGTGGGGCCGCGACACACTGTGGCACACGGGCGAACCTGGCTTGCATGCTTGGATCAAGCGGGGTGACAACTCCGAGTCTGTGTGGGTGCGAGGCCACGGATTGCCTGCATCGGGGTGATGAGAGAGAGAGAGAGAGAGAGAGAGAGAGAGAGAGAGAGAGAGAGAGAGA